GATTACAAATTTTAAAATGTCCTGTTGCCTTTGATATCAAATAAATAAATGACAAAATGTAAAGAACGACTTTCATGTCTTTAAACATCTTGTTTGAGTTATTCTAAATGAAACTGAGCAGCTCTGTTGGAGCATTCTACCCCCCAGAAGTGATCATTCTGTATTTCTGGAATTGTGACTTTTGGCTAGACTTGTTTACACAAGTTAAAACCTTTTTTTTCCCCAAGCAGAACAAATTGGCATGAAGCCACAAATTGAGGTAAAATATAGATGGGAGTAGCCACTCCTGTGGTGATCTACTAATAACATACAGATTTGTGGACACAGTTGCAATCATTTTTTCCCCCCCAGTAATGAGCACTGCATTGAATAAGGAGCAGGCCTAATTAGCATGGGGTTGCAAACAAGCAAACCTCATAACAATAACACAAGTCCACATTGGTTCTTTTAATTTGACAAGCATAATGCACAAGAAGCATAAAGGTGAACTCTTGTTTTCTACACTTGATGTTATTTGAACCGAACTTTTGGAGTTTGATATTCCAAAATTATACTATTGGAGGTTTTTAACTTCTACACTACTTTCCGCTTTGTGTCATTAAGGCTTTAAATCTGTGGCTAACAAGTCTTTAAGTTTTGGACGGTTTTCCTCTGATCAGGATCATCTCCTTATGAGAAAGAGAAGATACAAAACACATTTTGGACTTAGTGACCCATCCATTATTGCACTTTCCATCCCTGAAGTTCCGAACATTTTAAAACTTTCTATGACCGGAAATTTTGGTTGTGAGTTTTATTTTTCATTTTATTTCATTTTTGGAAAAGCCTTCTGGCCACTTTAGAAAGAGTGGACAAACCTGTATTCTTCTTTTTAGCTTACTCATGGCCAGGAAGAGCCCGGGTAGACATAAGGACTATGTGACCTCAGCTTAGGAAGCCACCGTGCAAAGGTACCCGAGGACAAAGAACAAAGTAAGAAGGAATTTGACACAGTTTAAAAAGTGGAGAAACTTTTTACTTTTGCACTTAACTTTATTCTCATGTCTCCTTTATGAGGCTTTTTTCTAAAGCACTTCCATAGGTTTTTTTTAATGGTAAATACTGCTAACTTTGCTATCAGTAAATTATTTTGTGTAAAGGTAGTTAAAAATAGCACATAAATCTGTCTTTTGCTGTTGCAGTAGCTTATTTGCTTTCCTTTGCAATGCTTCCCATGAAACACCTAGTTTGGGAGTTTAGCCCTCATGATAATAAATACGTGTTACTGTAAATAAAACCTACTTTGTTAAGTAGTGATACATTTACAGACTTTGTTAAAATCCCAGCATGGCTTAAGGCTCCACCAGTGCCCTGGAAGTAACTAATTGAAAKAAAAATACAGCAGGTATTTATGGTACTAAAGGCACCTGTTAAGTGAGTTGAAAAGCTTTAACTCCTGTCTTTGAATAGTGTCTTGCTTTTATGTGGTGGCCACAGCTCTTTATTCAGACATTTCAATCTTTTGGATATAAAGCCATTAGTTTATATATAGTAAACACCTTGAGTTTAAAATCATTAGATTAAAGTAAACCCAACTGGTTTGGTTGTTACTAACTTTAGCTACAAACAATCCAATAACTACATTGACTGGAATATTCATAATCCTGTCCAAGTATTTGACGTATAAGCACAATGTGTGCACAAGGCTGCACATGTGTGTCTTCACATTTAAACAACCTTCTGCATTATCAGGCATCTTCTCTGTTAAAGCTACAGTACTTCATTGTTCTCTCTTCGTGCATTCAGCTCTCATCTGTCAGACTCTCAGTCAACCTTCACACTCATCTCATGTACCTTACAAAATACCATACACTGTATATATTAACACACACATCTATATAAGTCTAGCTAGAAGCAAATCCAACAGTGGCCATGTCTTGCATATCTAAGAAAAGCAGGCTGGGATGAGGGGCTGATATTGACAAGGTGGTGGATAGTCTTGAAAGCAGAATGGAGTGCAGCGTGAAGATCACTTGCAGCTTTTTCTAGCCAGCCCTGTGTCTGACTGGTAAGCGGGGCCCATTGCCAACACTTGCAAAGGCTGTAATGAGTTTATTTCATGTCGGCTGTGAAAGTGCTCGTCTCTGTCTCACAGGCACTCAGACAGAGTTGAGGCCCATAAACACAAAGTGCAGCGTGTAAATCCCCACGGCCTGACGTCTCCCAGCCTGCCCTCTATGGCTTCTGAGCATCGCTTTATTGAGAAAAGGAAGGGAGATGCGATATCCTCACTTGCTCCCAGGAAAAGACATGGTGGGCCTCCCCACAAGGTGTGATACATCTCCTCACCGAAGACCACACAAGCTGTAATCTTTAATCTCTCCGACTTACACTTGTCTCCCAGGAAAAAGCGTGTTTTTATTTATTTCTTTATTTATTTTTATTTAATTATTTTTCTCAGAATACGTGAGGAAAAAGGATCATTCGGCGTCTGTACACAACATGCTTGCAGATCAAAAAACAGCCAACTGTGCAGTGAATCGCTTCGGACTGCGGTGTCTGACCTCTGACGAATAGAAAAACATGAATTTTCCATGACGTCAGCTATCCTAGCTTGTCCTTCTCTCCTGTTTAATCTCCTTCCCTCAATTAAATGCAAAATGCTCCCCTTGTGTGCTCTTTGCAAGTGCAGGTCAGTGCCTCAGAAAGTCCCTGCTTAGAGCTGCATCTTCTCAGGGCCATGGTACGAGTGGTAGGTCACTGGCTTAAGAAGCTGTAAGAGGGGTCTGGGAGTGGGGGGATGCATGACAAAAAAGGAGTTTCTGTTGCTCTTTTTCTGGCTTGGTCTGGGGTTTCCGTGTAATCTTTCACCTTAGTCTGTTTGTTGGCTTGTTTCTAGATACTATCTTTAAATGTGAGCTCAGCGCCCCTCTCTCGCTTTTCATTTTTTCCCCCTCTTCCCTTCCCCCCTTTGTGTATGAAGTCAGTGGTGTGAGTCATCTCAGGCTGCTTGGGGAGTGATTTAATTGCTCTCTCCCCACATCCTTCAACATGCATGTCTCAGAGCGGGCTGTCACTGACCCTCTACCAAAAATAAATAAATAAATAAATAAATAAATAAATAAATAAATAAAATTAAATAACACCAGTGCTGCAAAGTTTTGTCCACCTCCAAAGATGCGGAGAATACACACTTTATAAATCCGTTCTCCCCACTGAAGGCAAAACAATGCTGCGCTGTACGGTGATACCGTTTTTGTATTGTGTAGTCCTGCAGAGTGAGCGTGGGCTCAAAATGGAAGAAAGCAGCAGAAGTGCTTTTTGTAATTGTAGTTTTCAAAAGAAGAAGAGGAAAAAAAACTCCTATCATTTTCACTGTGGGGGTCAGAGAATTGTTTGTGAGGGGCACTTGGTTGATATGGACACTTTGATTTGTTCCAGGGGGAAATTGTGCTGCAACACTGTGTGAGTTGAAGTGAAGTAATGCTAACCTATTAACTTGTGGCACGGACTTATTATGTTTCCCGACTCTATTTTAAGTGCTTTGCACTTTTACCTTTTTTCTTTCTGAAATGCTTCTCATCAGGCATTAAGACTGAAGTCCTCCTGCTGACAGCTGCACACACACTTTCCTGTACAGGCATCTGTCCATTTTCCCTTCCTCTGCACTTGTGAGGCAAGACATAAGGTGGCACTGTTTGTGCAGATGAATGAGGTTTTTTTTTTTTTTTTTGAGGTGGGGGGGCGGTGGGGTTTGAAGAGGCCACCTTGTAGGGATTGGCTGAGTGTGATTGAAAATAGGCCTGCCTTGACTTAGCAATACCCATCCGTATGAACCTTCTCAGATGAAAGACTTGTTTGTTGTTTATAGGGGAAGTAATTATTTCACCTCTGCGGCAGTCAAATCTCCTTCACAGCAAAGTGATTCAGCGCTGACATTGGCGATGTGATAGACGTAGCTCAAAAAGGGGTGAGGAGGCTAAAATGCCACTGTGATTACAACAATTAGAGGGGCTGAGAATAAAGGAGAATGTTACAGCTCCGAGGGCCGACTGATTTTTATTCTTTTTCTCCCCCGTGATGCTGATGAGTGTCTGAGTTGTATAACGGCAGACGAGGATCAATGGCGGATGCTGACTCTTAAGAATACTATGGATGTACTGTAGACTGCCTGAGATGGCTACTAATCCAGAACGATTATGCAGTGTACTCTTTGCTCTTGGCCTAGTCTAGACAAACAGCACACACAAGAGCATTCGCACACACATACACATAGATGCATAAAAAGCCATCAGACTTTGAGCAGAAAGCAGGAACTACTACAAGGAACTACTTTTTTCATTTTCACAAAAAAAAACCTCCCATTTTAGGAGTTTTTCTGCAGTTATTCCCCACCGCTATTGCCATCAGGTTCTTTTTTAGATTTAACTAAAGATTAAACTAAAGCTATACAGATGTTGCCTCCGTAACTGAGTTTTACTGCACTGAGCCATCACCAGGAGGCAAAGCCTTTAGGAACACAAATAAAGTCCTAATGCTTACCTCCAGATCCCCTCTGCTTTTCCCCTCTAACGTTCTTCTCATCTYGCCCGCTCCATGCTGCCACGCTGCACAAACAAACAGGATATTTCTGAAGCAGTCGCAGCGCACATTCCAGAATGCTGCTCTGATTTTAGTTTCAAAGACGTTCAGATATGAGTAGGTGTCAGTCTGTCATATTTGAACATAACACACCAAATTAATGCTGTGATTCAATGAATACTATATGTTTATACTCAGCCTGGGCCAAGTAATATTTATTAATAATATTTATTATATTTTTTCAAAGTACTTCAGTGTCAAAGGAGACTATTTAACATGTCAGACAAGCATGGTGAATATTGATTACAGGAAACTAAATATAAAAGCCCATTTGATTATATTTTTAAAAGTTTAAGCTTATCTGTGGTTATCCACCATGCAGTAAAAGCTAATGGATTGCATTTTTTCATTTTATTTTATTCCTACATCCTGTCTTACAGCTGAACTGAAGCTACACGTCCCAGAGCAACCAGTGGTGGCGCTGTACGGCAGTGATGTTACACTCAACTGCTCCTTCAACCAGACGAGTCCCTTCAACTTATCGGATGTTAGTGTTTTCTGGCAGCTAACAGACACCAAACGCAGTGTGCACGGTTACTGGAAGGAACAAGACCAGCTGGTGGACCAGGCAGTGGCCTTCGCCAACCGTACCAGCCTGTTCCCTCCCCAGCTGGGCATGGGCAATGCCTCACTTTGGCTAAGCAGGGTGCTCGTGGCTGATGAAGGCAGCTATACTTGCTTTGTCAGAGTGCAGGATTATGGCAGTGCTTCTTTGGTGCTGCAGGTGGCAGGTGAGTCAGCATACATTCATGGCACATGCAAAACAWACATTTAATTTAACGCAGGGTTTGTGTTTTCAGATTCCAGACGAATATCTATATTTGGTTCTGTATGGACAGTGCCCAACACTTATGGTTAAATGAGATTGGGAAGCCGCAGTGTAGGAAGTTTAGAGATGGTTCTTGTCTTTATTTGCTATGGCCTTTCAAAACCCTAACCGGTACAGGAAGCTATAGATTTGACTTAAAATGGATTATCATAGAGTTCTTTACTTAGCTGTGTCCAAATTCAGGAGCTGCATCCTTCGACGGACCCGGCCTACCCGGTCAAAGTGGACCGGGTACTTTGTTGACAGTGATGACAGGAAGAAGGCTGTGAATTTGCATGGGCTAGCCTTCAGCTTTATTCCCACCCTTACTCTGGTATATGTCCTGTCGCAAACGTGACTGTGCTTAACGGAAGTAACGAAGATCGGAAATAGGTCGAAATTAGCAAAATATTGATTTATTGTTATTATTATTACTATTATTATTATTATTATTATTATTATTATTA